ACCCCAAACTACCCTGAGGAACTGCAGCCCCACCTGCAGAGTTTTCCTCACCATACCTCCATGTACATTTTCTGTTTGGGGTCCCTAATCTCCACAGGAGAACGCCACTGCACCTCTGTTGAGCTGGTGCCTTCCAAAAGGAGATTACCCTATTAAACTTGGTGGTGCTAAATTCTTATCAGAAGCCTGATTCTAAGGAAGTTTCCAAGAAGGATTTTACCTGTGGATAGACAGAACGTGCAATTTAAACTTTCTCCTTGGTCAATTCTGACTGTCAAAAGCTACATATTCACAAAGCTGCTTTCAGTGACTTGGGGTTTTGAATCATGTCACTGTTGGCAAAGAAAGACTCTAAGTGGTGGAAGGAAACTCCCTATTGTAATGACTGAGAATTATGACTTGATAGGTCTGGGTGGGACTAACATCTGGATTTTTAATAAGCTTTCTTGCAATAAGGTGTGCATTAAAGGTTGAAAATCACTGCCCTATTTTACACCAGGTGGAAGGGATATCCAGACTATTATTATAGGCGTTCTCTCTTGAGGCAGATCCATTGGGGAAATTTCCCTCAGGTCTCATTCCTGAGCTGATTTTATCGACACTGAAACTTGTGACTGCCGGTGCGCCGCCACATCTGCAGCTAGCTCCCTTTTAACAGCAGGGCGGGACCTAAAGGCCTGAAGGAGGTGTGGTGGAAAGAACACGGCTTTAGAACCACAGGCCAGGTTTAAACCCCTGCACTAGTGAGGTTTAACAACCTGTTTCTCGTCAGTAAAATGAGGACAATATGTCCGTACTTCACGAAGTTGCTGTGAGACCTAGCTAAATGCCCGGGCCGCGAAGTAAGACGCCGATCGTCCCTGCGGGTCCGAGCCTGACAGCCGAGTGGCATGACACAGTATTTTCCAATTATTGCGCGTTCCCGCTTCCTAGCTCCCACCTTGTCCTGCCGGGACTCCCTCATCGGTTTGGCCCGTATTACGTACTTGGAAGACCCCTCCGAAGCGGGTCGGCGGAGGCTGGACTCAGACAACGCATTCCGGACCCCGGGCCGCGCAGCCCTGGAAACCGGACCCGCACCCACGCCCCCAAGCCAGGCGCTTTGTCGGCGCCAGGCCTGGGGAGGCGCCGTCCAGCGGCGGGCTCACCTGCAGGCGGTGGCTCTTGACCAGGTGCATGTTGAGCGCCGGGCTGTTGGGCAAGATCTTGCCGCAGCCGCGCACAGTGCACAGGATGTTGGTCCGCACGGCCCGAGACAGCTCGCTCACCGACGGCTGGATCAGCTCCCCGGCGGGCACCCCCGGTGTCGGACCCCCGGGCTGCTGCCTCGCCGCCCCAGGCCGTGGCCGGCTACCCCTCAGCCGTCCAGGTGGCCCCCACAGGCCCGAGGCGGCGGCGGCTCCCTTCGCGGCCGCCGGGCCGGCTGGGGTGCCCGAGGCCAGAGCCCCGGGTCCCGCCGCCGCCGCCTCAGAAGCCGCCATAGCTCCCGCACTGCAGCCTGGACGAACTCAAGCCCCGCCTTCCGCCACTACTTCCGGCAGAGGGCGGGGCCTCTCGGCTCATTAGCATCCGGCCGGGACTGGCCAGCGGCGGCCCCCTTGCCGGCCAGTGAGTGCACGTCCGCGAGGAAACGCTCCCAGGTGGGCGGGTTGTAAAACTTCACTGGGATTCTTATGCACAGGTAGAAGTTCCGCTGATCCGTTCTTTGCCTTCCTAGAAGGTGGACTTCAGACAATAATTGGATAGAAGAAAAGGCAAATGCGTTCATAAACTTCCCAAAGATTGGAAACAACCCAAATGTTCAACAGAACGGCAGGCAACAGTACGTTAGTTACAGCTATCTTTTATTTAGGGTTTACCGTGTGCCAGACTCTGGGGAATGCACTTTTCATTTGGTGTCTCATTTTGTCCTCAGAACACCCATTAGAAGGTGTGTACTATAAGTTTTCCCCCATTTTGCAGAGAAGTAACTAATTAGTCCTAGGTCACATTATACAAACAAAAGGATTGTTATAATTGACAATTATTTTAGGGAGGCTGGATCCACTTGCCTGTATTTTAACTGATGAAATCCGATTACTGTTTGGGGGTCAGTGTAGCTCAGGCCAGGGTTCTAAAACCTAAGTACCTAGAGGGACTGGGTAGGTCATGTAAATGAGAATAGTAGGTTAGGTGTATACAGAAGGGAGGGGTGAGGGCAACAGTGAAATGAGAAATACATCCTTTGTTTAAAGGGGGACAGCCAGTATCTTTGATACCACTGGACCTAGGTAGGCCTAGGAGGAATGGAAAATCAACAGGCGGGAAACTACACCGTGGGAAACTAGCCTGGGAAACTGCCTGCCGACCCTACCCAGGACAAACAGATGCCCAGCTAAGATTGGGGTCTGGGGTTGGCCTATCTGGCATAACAGGATGCAGTTTTAATTTGAGCCAGTCAGACTCTGACACCCCAAGCAGTTAACTGTCATGGGTTTTTGCGCTTAAAAAGCCTGCCCTAAGAACAACAGAGCGAGTCTTAACCTCCCTTGGTTGGCTCCCCAATCTAGGTTAGCCCCGCTTTCCCCCTCTTATTTATTCCCCGCTAATAAACCCTGCTCCTTGGCTCACTGCATCATCTGGTTTGCTGAGCAACTCTGCCCTAACAATTACTAGATTTGTTCCCCCCCACCCAAGATTTTATTTTTAAAGGAGAAACATCAGTGTGTGGTTGCCTCTCATGTGCCCCCAGCTGGGGACCTGGCCTGCAACCCAAGCATGTGCCCTGACCGGGAATCGAACCGGTGACCCTTTGGTTCACAGGTTGGCACTCAATCCACTGAGCCATACCAGCCAGGGCTCACTAGATTTGTTTTAAAGACTTTTATGTGAAAACATCCAACTTTTATATATTAGTGTCTATATTAGTTTTCTATTGCTGCAATAACAAATTACCACAAACCAGTGGCTTAAAACACAGATTGGTTGTTGTTGAAGGAACTCAAAAAAAGCCTGGAGGGTTTGGCTAGAAATAAATGATGAAGAGTTACGCAAGTGTCTGGGAGTTTGCAAACTGGGAACAGAGGAAAGCAAAAAAGCATTCCAAAGAAGAAAAAATGAAAAGTTCTTATAGTAAAAAGCATCTTCTTGAGAGTTACCAGTTCTGCATTCTTAACCCTAGGATTGGTCCGGGATGATTATCGGTCAGATGTTGGGCAGTCAGGATGATGGATTCCAGGTGGTTCAGAAGATGGGCACCAACAGGTCTGGTCATGTTTTATGGTCTGGATAATGGATGCCAGGGGGATGTATTTATGAGTCCTTCAGTGGGTAATCAGTATTCTGGGTACCCAAGTCCTTCAGGGGATAATCAGAGGGTTGTGTGCATGTCCATTTGTAAATCCAGGCATTGACACAGAACTGGAAAGTTCAAAAGTGTTTTAAGTTCCCAGGCTAGTTAGAACAAGAATGGAATCTTTCATGCCTCGACCTTCATGTTAATAATTTTAACAGCTTGGTTAAAATGACTCCATTTTATATGTTCCCTATCTTCACGCTTTCCCAATTATCTCACAGTTCTGGAGATCAGAAGTCTCAAATGAGTCTACTAGGCTAAGACCGAGGTGTTGGCAGGGCAACATTTCTTCTGGAGCCTCTAGGGAAGAATGTGTTTAGTTGCCTCTTCCAGCTTCTCAAAGTCAGTAACGGTGAGCTGAGTCGTCCTATCACTGATTTCTTCAGTAGTTATATCTCCTTTTGCTCTCTTCTCTTCCACTTTTGAATACCCTAATGATTACACTGGGTCCATTTCATTTACACTGAGTTCCATTTAGGAACTCTCCCCATCTGCGAAGTCCCTTTGCTTGTGAAGTAATATATTTAGATTCCAGGGATTAGGATGTGGGCATCTCTGAGCAGGGCAGGTATTATTCTGCCCACCCTAGGAACTAATTTGGATTTAAAAAGTACTGTGGGCCCAAACCAAACCAAAAACCAACAACAAAAGCCAACAACAAAAACTCCACATCTATGTGTGGGGTAGGAACCATGGGCTGTTTTCTTTTTGGTATGCTGTTTAAGAGTGCAGGCTCTCAGGTCCAACAACCTGTGGTTAATGTGGGCTTAGCCACTGACTAGCCTAAGCTTTTGGTAGTCATTTAAAGTAGCGTAAGACTAGTAATGCTGCCTGCCTTACAGGAGAGTTATGAAAATAAGATAATACTCAGAAGCATAAAAAATACTTAGTGCCTGCCATATAATAAGTGCTCAATAAATGTTAGCCATTATTTGCTTTTGGAGACTCTATCTAATGTAAAATTAGGTAAATTCCTAATTAGAAAATTTCAAAAATCCCACTAAATTATTCTGAAGCAATTCCTTTATCTAATTTTACATTAGGAAGTAAATTCCTTGGGTTATGAAGGTTCTTGGATGTATATTTACAGCTCCATCTGTTCCCAAGACTGCATTTGAATACAGTATGTGTCTCTGGACCATTAAGCACATAATGGCTAATAGTTCCATGTATTCTCATTTCCTTAAGCAGGTGCTTCTGTCTTGGAGGGCCTCAGGGTGCAGCCTCAAGTGATCCCACTAAACGCTGGATAATACGATTAGCATCTCATTCAGGTTGCGGTTGCCCATCCTTGCCAAGCACCAGGGAGGGCTGTTGGCTGTGAGAAGCCAACCCAGGAACTTGTAGCGCCTCTGGGCAGACCTAATGCAGGCATGCAGGCACTGAGCAGAAGTGCCTGCCCCTCGGGCACAGATGCTCTAAACCACAACTATGAGCCATAAGGAAATCAGCATTATTAAGCCTCTGCAGACTCAGTCCTTCAATCTGAGATAACTGGAGTGTCTTTGCCATAGTTAATGAAATCTAAAAACCTATCTTTCACATAGGATACCCACATTAGTAAAAAATACCACTGCATTATAAAGCACAGCTTAACACTTTTCTGATTGTATTTATATATCTGTACATTAATCCTCATAGATATTCATCAAAAGTAACTTATATATCAGTTTTTAAATACCTTTATTCACAAATCAGTATAAAATTGGTCAGTTTGAATATCACATGTATGAGAAAATAGATAATAAAAAGCATATTTACAATGAAACCATTATTTTATATAACTGAATCATCTGATTGCTATCTCCTGCAATAATAATTTAATGGACCCAAGTCTCATTATCCTAGAAAGTTTTGAGTTTGGTAGTTTCTTGGTGCTTCTTTATGTAATCCAAGGGTTAAGGGAAAATTCCTGAAAACCAGCAATTGGAACCAGGCCTCACTATGAGTGAGGAGAGACAGATGTGAAAGAACACCTTGTCACTTATTCTAGGCCCACAACTGCTGCACTTTGCAGAATATGGGGGAGAGGGGAGCATACAGTGGAAAAGGAATGAGTCATTCCCAACCATTATACTGAACATTTCTAAATTAAGGGTTCATGTCTAAAGCACAGGTTTTTGACAGAAGCTATTCAGCTATCTATGAAGTGAAATGTGTATGTGATATAGTCAGGGAGATGTGATGTTTACAAAACCATATACATCTTATTTATCTTTAATTTTAAAATAATTCATTCTCTTTTTGGGTATGCAAGTGAGCAATGGAGAAAGTGGTGCATCTGCAATACCTGAAATTAAAAAAAGAAAAAGAAGAGAAAATGAAATAATCATGGTGCAAAGATTTGAATCAGTTTTAAAAATGGGCGAGATTAGAGTGTGGATCATGGAACCCCATTAAATGCAGAAGCAGAATATGCAATAATAGAACATGATGGGATAGCAGACTGGCCATGAGAAAGCTCCCAGGTAATTAGTCAGCAAAGAGAGATTTGAATGTACTATGTTATTCATTCTTCTAGCTTGCAAAATAAACTACTTGCCTGCTGGTGCCAAGGACTTCAATGCTTCCAGAAGATTTGGGCTAGAGAACTTGACTAGGCACCGGAGGGGTTCATTTCTTTCAGCCAAGATGCCCCTATTTAAGTCACTTTTGAATTTTGTTTCAAGCTGTCAACAAAATATATTTATAAATGACTATTAAAACATATCAGTTGGAATGGCAAAATAAAACAGAATCAGATTGTGCATTTCATTAATTTTTATCATCAAAAAATATAGGGATTACCTGGCTGGCGTAGCTCAGTGGACTGAGCGCAGGCTGGGAATCAAAGTGTCACAGGTTCGATTCCCAGCTAGGGTACATTCCTGGGTTGCAGGCCAGAACCCCCAGCAACTGCACATTGATGTTTCTCTCTCTCTCTCTCTCTCCCTCCCTTCCCTCTCTAAAAATAAATAAATAAAATCTTTAAAAAAATATATAGGGATTAATGGGGGGAGACACTAATTTGAGAGAGGGAGGGAGACATGGCGGGGGAGAGAGAGAGACAGACACACACACACACACACACACACACACACACTCTAGTTTGTTGTTCAAATAAGCATTAGGCCTAAGTGAGCAGATTAACAGTAGATTTCAAGTGTGGCCTGTAGCTGTAGGGACACTAGGCAGAAAGAATTTTATGGAGGGCTTAGGGGGAGGAGAGTGCTGTGATTATGAACATGGGCATTAGATTAGGATGATCATGATTTGAATTCTTTTATGGTGGCAATTGGCTTGTCCTCCACCCTGGCCTTCCTGGTAGCTAGTGGCACACTTCTAGAATGAGCTAGGTTTACAGTACTAACTAGGCTACTGGTTTTTTCTCCATATGATACCAACTGGGCTATATAATGGCTTATTTATCCACTCTTTTATTCAACAAGCTTTTTTTTATTTTATCCAAATTGGCTTTTTATTAATAGTAAAGACTGTTGGCCCTGCCCAGTGTTCAGTTGGTTGAGCTTTGTTCTGTAAACTGAAAGGTAGCAGGTTCAATTCCCTGTCCGGGTCCATGCCTAGGTTGCAGGTTCATCTCCATTTGGGATGCGTGTGAGAGGCAACTGATTGATGTTTCTCTCTCACATCGACATTTCTCTCCATCTCTTTCCCTCCTTTCCTCTCTCTTTAAAATCAATAAGCATGTTCTTGGGTGAGGATTAAAAAAAAATAGTAAAGACTATTGACACATACTACTTGCAAATAGTACAGGCACAAAAATTATAAAAATAAACTAGCAGATATTTAAGAGCAAATGTAAAGTTTGTATATTAGGTCATTAAAGATTTTGTATACTTTTTTATACTGTTATTATAAACTAGATATATGAAGTAAAAAAAAAAAGAGCAAGGTGCAAATCAGCAACTATCATATGCTACCATCTCTGCTTTTAAAAGGAAAAGGATATGGACAAACAGTCCACATGTGCATAGACTACCTCTGGAAGATTACTCAGCCATTAATTGTTGCCTAAGGGACTGCATCAAGGAGTGAGAAAGAAACTGCCTTTTATTGAATAGCGTTTGGTACAATTTAAAAATTTTTAGTCAATCATGTACAAATTCTTAAATATTTTGATTAGTAATTTAAAAAATCCCAATGCTTTATTTACTGACTTGAAAGACAAAGAAACATTGATTTGTTGAAACACTTATTTATGCATTCATTGGTTGCTTCTTGGGTATGCTTTGACTGGGGATTGAACCGGCAACTTTGATGTGTGGGGACAGTGCTCTAACCAGCTAAGCTACTTGAGCAGGGCTGATTCACAAGTCTTTATAGGCAACCCACTATGGTGTATGTATTGTTCTAGTGTAGATGGGCTAAAAAGATGTAGACTACAATTTTCCCCCTCAAAAATACAGATCATAGCCAGTTTTACATAACTGAATTAATATGAAAGATGACATGAAAAGACAAATTAAAAATTTCCAAGGGTCTTCTTTACTGGTAGGGGAGCTTACTAACTGTGATAGAGAAGTCATAAATTTATTATACGAAATTGAGGCAACAAATGAATAAGAAACAGTTTCTCAGAACCATTTTCCACTTGGAGTTTTTGTTCTTTTGAAAAAAACTGATAACTGTAGATAATTTATAGTAACATCCTACCTTATATTGTGCAAATTCTAGTCTTGGTTGAGGGTAGTCTCCAAAAACTTCTTGAGTAATTCTTTGGACTCTGTCTTTTTCTATTCTGTTTTCATGAATGATCCTTGAATCCACTATAGATGGAAGATTTCAAATAAAACATGTTAGAATCTATTTCATCCTTAAAGTATCCTCCTTTCATTCCTAGGCTTTTAACTTGCTTGTCTAATTTAGAGATAATGTTTAACCATTACTGTTTCTTCTCTTGATTGTAATAACTTCTTATTGTAGAAAAATTGGAAAGTACAGGCTGATAAAAAAGAAAAGAAAAAACCACCCACAATTCTACCACACAGAAATAAGTACTGTTAACATTTTAATATATTTCTATCTAGCCCTTTTTTAATATTTTTCTATCTAGCCTCAGTGACTACAAATATGTATATTTTTAAAACTGGAATTATAATACACACAATTTTCTATCCTTTACTTAACATGAATGAAATCAATAGCAGTTTCTACATCATTGGAGAGTCATAAAAATGTTCAGTTCATAATGGCTGTACCATTTCATTTTACTATCATTTTAAAAGTGTACTTCCAAATTTCAGTTTTTACTTTAAAACACACATACTATTTATATCTAGCCCAAGGCTTCTTTCTTGTGGAGGTGTAGTAGCGTTGTGAGTTTCAAAGGTCTAGGGGAAAAAAAAAAAGAAAAAAGTGAATGTTTTCCTAATTTTAACACCTTGAGGTACAGCTATTAATTGATTTTAGTACACAAAAGTATGTCAAATTTTATCTTTATCTTTCTCAAAAAGAAGAGATTTGAGGTCACATCTGGCTGAGCTGAGCATTTCTCCTAGAGCAGGGTACTGCTGAGACTGCTGGGGCCAGCAACATGGCTGTTTTGCCTGAGGGGCCCTGTCTGTACCCTTTATCGTAAAAATGGATCTGGAAGAAACAGGTGGTGAGGGCAAAAGCTACAAAAATCAAGGCCATATTTGCAATGTTTATAGCTATGTCTTCATAACCCTAAACAACTCGCTGAGATTCCTTTTGGAAAAATAACTTTCCCACTGAAAGTCTGAATTTCTCAAATCCCTTCTGTGACCTTCCTTCCGCCATCAAAACCACTGTGCCTAGAACAGGTGAAATACGTAAGTACAGGGTGGGACCCAAGTAGGTTTATAATTGTGAGTATATGAAACACAGAGTACATTCTTGTGTTATTAATTACTGTATCATTTTCCATACAAACAACTGTAAACCTACTTTTGCTCCACCCTGTATAATACACGTAAGGGCTCAGATTTACACACAGAGCATTAGTGAGTCACCCACTGAGTCTGAACACATGAGCACACAGGTGCCATGCAAAGGAGCAAACAACCCTGGGCCTGTGAGGCCAGATCTGTTCTTATCATTAAAGGGAAACAGTGCATTTAAATAATTTTAACAGACAAATAAATTGTGGAACTTAATAAACCAACGCTTTTTCCTTCACTTCTAACCCCTGTATCACCTGATTGACTGATGGGAGAAAAACTTTGCTTCTTTCTTGCACAATAGAACAATGTAATTAGCTTGAAAAGGCAGTGTTAAGTTATTCTAAAAAGAAAAGAAATTCTAATTAGAGTAGCTGATCTGGAAACTGGGATCTATGCCATCATTTTGTTTCTCTTCATGTTAACCAACTGAAAGCTTTCTCTACTTCAATAATACCCGAAGGGATCTCCTTTTACTGGAGGTGGACTTTCCCACCTGCCCGGTGGCCTCTAACTCATGTGTAAAGAGAAAAAGGAGACTTAACCTGAAAGAATGTCACTGATAGCTCACCTGATTATACTGCTCAAAAACAATAGCCTTAAGAGAGTCCAGATATCGGCTTCTGAAGTCCATTTTCACAATCCGATGGTGTTTGCTAGCAATTGTCAATGCCTTGAAGTGAAAGTTGTAAGACTATTAAGATTACTGTGTCTATACTTGTATTTATAATATTTGTGGAAGTAAAATTAGGAATTGCAGTAAATGAATAGTTTCTATTTAAGAGTGAAAAGAAATGCAGAAAAATGAGAAAAATGTAATCTCATGTCCTGTTACTCAAAAAAAAAAAAAAGCCTAATGGCATAAAATAATCAGAAATACAAAGTCTTTTGTACCATTTTTAGACATATTTAAAGTTAGGAATTATAGTAAGTTCAGACCTAGAAGTAAACAATGAATACTCAAATGTTACCGTTTTAGACTACCAGTCATCTAATACTACAACAATACTGCCACACAAAAAGGCAAATATATATGCTTTAGAACAATACTGAAGAATAAATACATATTAAGTGCAATTTATAAAAGCTTCCCATTATCTGGAGAAACAAGTGGGAAGGCTGAAACAGAATTAGTAAGGTAAGATATTTACCTGGAACTGGAGGGTAGAGATAAGTTTGCCTTAAGATACACAAAGAAAACAAACAGCTTTTGGTGTAATGTTTAAGCCAGTTGTTGCAGGGTGGACTCACCTGGCTGTAGGTGGATGAATGACTACTCTAAATTATGGATGAAGAGACCCCAAACATAAAGCAGCAGAGGTAAGTGTTAAAGGGAAGTAGAAGCAAGCTGCAGTAGATATCTTCCTGCCATTCCAGTAAATAGCCCAGGAATTTAAATGACCAGCAAGTCTGTCTGCTGGGATCCCATAGCTCTCGAATCCAGAATCCTGGAGTGCACGGTCCACTTAGCACTAGAGATAATGCAGCCAGGATGGTGGAGCTGCTCACCTACAACCGGCTGAAATGAAAGCTCTGGAACCAGCTGAGGTGCCATTGTAATTGTGAATGTTAATAGAGAATAGAAGTAGCAGCAGTCACCAGGCCTACACAGCGGTGGCTTATTCTGGGGAAAGATGCTAGGAAGCCAGAGCCATAACAAGAAGCAGGCTCTGAATAGAGGCCCCTTTTTATGTTAAAGCAGTCTTCTTGTGTACAGAATGTGGGGAGAATGATTACAAATGAAAATAATGTTCATTATTAATAGGCAAATTATGCAATCACAAAAAATGATGTGTATCATATGGAACCACATGGAAATGTTTAAAAAACAAGCGACAGATGCTAAGTACAACTCTGGTTTTGTAATAAAACATCTGAAAGGAAATAACAAACTGTTAACAGTAGTTATCCTGAGTAAATGGGATTGGGAAGAAGGGTATGAAGTTTTAAAAGACTTAACTGTTGGTCTTTAGAGACTTCTGTGTTGGTTAAAGTTTTACATTAAACTTGCATTACTTCTAGATTTAAAGACGATAATGAAGAGCTCCAAACCAATGCTCAAATTGCTTTCCCATTTGCAGAAGAACCACACTTGCTTACCTTAGGAAGTCAAGAACTACATGTGACACTTTTATATATAATGCTTAAACCTACACAGACCTCTGAGATAGGATAATAAAAGTTTATAGCTGTAGTGATTGGTTCCATACCTGGCCCAGAAGGGGAATACTGCTCCTCAACTGCGAGGAAGAAATGAAAGCGTATGGAGTCTGGGGATAATACACCACGTAAGTAGGTTTGTACTGGTTTGGCTTCCTATACTGTGTTCCCCAGGCAATTCGAATCCATACTGCATTCTCCTCAGCATCTCTGAAGGTGACCGATACCTTATTTAAAAAAAAAAAATTAAGTTTCCTAGTTAAAATCTCGTGGCACCAAGAAAGAACACATGTTTTCTAAGGGGGAAGGATGTCATTATAATCTTCCACATAGCCCTTTCTCCTACTTTTCATTACAGTGCTTTAGGAATCTTTGAGAAAATATTTTGTGGTTGTTTTGTAGACATATACACCTTGCAAAGTCTTTTGGAAGAAAATAATTTTTTAAAAGATTTTATTTATTTTTAGAGAGGGAAGGGAGGGAGAAAGAGAGAAACATCAATGTGCGGTTGCTGGGGGTCATGGCCTGCAACCCAGGCATGTACCCTGCCTGGGAATCGAACCTACGACACTTTGGTTTGCAGCCCGTGCTCAATCCACTGAGCTACGCTAGCCAGGGCTAGAAAAAGAATTTTTAAATCTACAACAGGGTATGATGCCAAAATTTTTCAATAGTTTCTTGGGCTTGTCTTGAAAAACTGTGTTCCTCTACCTGTAAGAGTTTATGAGTAAGGCAGCCTTACAAATGACGTACTTGTTTTAAAATGGAGCCTTTCTAGAGTTGAAAGACTTAAGAAAAAAAAAAACAAAAACTCATAGGCACAGACAACAGCATGGTGATTAGCAGAGGAAAAGTGGGTGGGGAGAGGTAGAAAAGGGTAAAGGGATAAATGGTGATGGAAGGAGACTGGACTTGGTGAACACACAATGTACAGATGATGTGTCATAGAACTGTACACCTGAAACCTATATACTTGTATTAAATGTCACTCCAAGAAACTCAATAAAAATGGAGCCTTTTTAGCAGAGTGTGCCCTATAAAATTTAATAGTAACACTTCTATGTAGTAATAAGAATATACTAACTTAAAAATATACGAATCCTAATGCTTTTATAAATGTAGCTGAGATGCTAAAAATTACTTTAAAGGAAAGTTATGTGGTCAGAATATAGGAAATTCTACTTGGTTTCCATTTCATGGATAAAATGTAAACCTTTCTAAAGTTGTAAGGATGATTACCAGTTCATCTGGAATTCAGCAGCCTACTCTTAGATTAGTAGCTCCCCCTTAGAGTTCAGGCCCTGCAAAAGGAGGCACCTGAGACAGGTGTACTTGGCCGGCCCATGTCTCTTTATTTCCTCCCTCTTATATCATACTCCAGTAAAGCAGGTTGCAATGTGGCTGCTGGAATTAAGAAGGCAGTTTCTTTGACTCTGCCCACTCTTTATTTGGCTGCTTTTCCACATTCCCTTGTGGAAGGGATGTGGAAAAGCATCCCTTGGTGCATCATATAAGGAACCCTCCCCAGTCCTAGGTGGGGACGGTGCAGAGCTGCCTGGCTTTCCCTGAGTGAACAGTACGGAGATTGGCCCCCAACAGAGGGACCACTACTGCCCTGAATGGAAGATTAAGTCTCGCTCTGATTAGCATCTTTGTGTTGTGTTACTAAAGCAAAAACACCTGTAAGATCAAAACTGAATACAGTATACTGAGGGCACACTTTAATTAGAGGGAGAAAACTGGTAGCACGCAACACATTCAGGTAGTCTCTCTAGCCCAGAATGAGAATCTTTTAAGTGAGGGTTCATGGATGGGCTTAACGAGGCCTGTGACCTCCCTGACCTGGATGCAGAGTCAGGTGTACAGGTCTAAGTGTACGCTTTTCTGGAGAGAGGTTCTGGATCACTTGCCAAAATTCTCATTAGGGTCTATGATCTAAAAAAGGTTAAAAACATCAGTGGGCTAGGAGAAAAGGCTGTCCCCAGCGTCAGTGTAGTCCCGGCCCAGCTCGCATCCAGGTGTTCCAGCTCACTTTCTTAGAGTAAAATAGACGCCTGAAGAGGTGGGGCCCGGATACAAACTTTTATTATTATCCAAAGAAAATATTTCAATAGATATCATCCCACAATAGCTGGGATAAAGCATTTTTCACTAACAATAGATTAATAATGCTCGAGCTTAACTGGGTGACTAATCCCACCAAGGTTCCTAAGTCGTTTGGCTAACCTGGGACCATACCCTCCAGGGGAGTCCAACCCACAGCCCAGGACGGCTGTGAATGCGGCTCAACACAGAATTGTAGATTTACTTAAAACATTATGAGATTTTTTTTGTTTGTTTTTGTTAGTGTGTGGCCAAGACACCTCTTCTTCTTCCAGTGTGTCCCAGAGACACCAAAAGTTGGACACCCCTGGTGCTCTCAGTTACTACCACCCGCAAGCTACATGAAGATATAAAAAAAGGTTAGCGTGAGAATCAAATGAACCTTATAACACATAGAACTGCCACATACTTAACAGACTATTCATGATAGTCTGATACATGGTATACAGGCATAAAAAAGAGTCAATGTGGTTTTTATAATTGAAACATTTTTTTCACCTGTCCCTTCTTTGTAAGTTTTCCAAGAACTTTGTATTCTGAATGGTTTTACCAACCTGCCCACCCCATGCCCTCCCTCTCTCAAAGGCTCTGTACTGGATCCCTGAACTTCAGGCTCTATCCATCACTCCCCAGTTAGGTCCCCTGTGCCTTCTCACACCAGCTTCTCTATCCAATTGATTCAAGGGTAGGAGTTCTTAACAGGAAGTCCATAGTTAGAATTCAGGGTACCTATGAACTTGGTAGGGGAAAAAATTGTATCTTTATTTGCCCTAATTTCTAACTGAAATTTATCATCTCCTTCAATTGTGATGGTAGGCAACAAAACAGTAGAATTTTAGGACCAATTACATTGTTGTTTACAGAAACCCTAAATTTTTAAAAATCACATCACAGTTGTTGCAGATGCCTCAAAACTTTACACCCATTACTGCTTAGAAACTAGTTGTTTATTGACCCACCAAGAGATTATTGTATAAAGAAGCACATGCATAACTACATAACAATTTAGCATTTTAATAAGTGTATGTTAATATAGTTGGTTTCCCTTGTAATTCTATGTGTTTTATTTTATAGCCTTTAAAACCACTTTTCTGAGAAGTGGTCCATGAGCTTCATTAATGGCCAAAGGGGCTCCTTGGCACAGAAAAGGTTAAGATGCCTGTCCTAGAGCAGCAGGCGAATCTCTTCAATCCCGAGCACCAGGAGATGCTACTTGGTATGACATCACCACCACCAGCCTTCAGGAAAGTGGGGTTATCCATCACTGGTCATGTCATGAGGAGGAACATGAAGATGAGCTGGGAGTCCTGTCATTTGAGAAAAGGGGTTAGGACATGCTGACCAGTTCAGACCAGGGGACTCACGGATAGAGAAGACACAGGAGCTTTACTTGTACGTCTCTATCTTCTAAAATGTACAGTGCACACAGCACCTCGGTCTCTACTGGCCTTTCAAACAGGACAGATATGTCCCATAATGAAGCTGCTTTGTCCCCCTGGCCTCTCCTGCTAGTCTGCCTGAAATTCACTCGGGGGCAAAAGCTTTTGGAATACAGCAGTGATGAAAAGAGAAGAAGGCTAACAACTGAATACATGGGCACTAGAGTAGGAGGAAATGTGTTTCGGACTCTTCTCCTTGAATGGTGGGGGCAGGAGGCACAGGGCTCAGAGAACACGAGTTCCTGGTGTCTGGGAGAGGCATCGAGGGAGGAGAGGGCACTGAGAAGGAAGGAAGCAGATACACTCTGAACTGGAGCCGAGCGAAGCTCTCTAGGAGGTTTCTTATTTGGGGTAAAGCAGTGTGGGAACGCTGCCCAGAGTGGTTTTCAAAATGTGTTAGCCAGTCCTGTCCAGCTTTATAAAAAAGCTGGTTCCACAAGGGTCCAGGCCATAAATCCACAACATTCACAGAGAGTTGGCCAGGGACTCTGTGTCAATGAGGCTTTGTTTGGGGGGAAAAAAAAAATCAAAAGCAGCTGTGTGTGCCACACCCAAATGGGACTCTCCTTTGATCTCCGAAAAAATTTTAATTTCACGGTAAGACTATTTTTCAAATATAATCAAAGATGACTTTGGAGCAAGGTATAAAAAGTATTCATAAAAGAGAGAAGAAAAGGGAGAGACATATCTTCCCTTTGGCTCACAATTCTCCTTGAATTAATTTATAAATTAAATGAAGCCCCACTGCTGAAGATTTTGTTTTATAAATCTGATAAAATGATTCTAAGATTCATCTTAAAGAATGGTCAGGGTGTTTTTGATAAAGAAGAGTAATCGGGGATAGAGGCAGGGTGGACTTGCCTCAATGGTTATTAATAACCATTAAAAAACTGCAGTGATGAAGGGAATGGGGGAGTTTGCAAAGAATGTGCCCAGTTCATTTATTGCCCAGCATTTGCTGAGCCCTTGCCTGGGTCAGTGGGGAGCAGGATGGTCAGGGTTCTACTCTCAGGGAGCCTGCAGGCTGGGAGGGAAACTGACAGTTCAACCAGAAAATGGGAAGAGTTGGTGATGAGCACAGGACAGGGGGCAACCAGTCTAGTCAGGGAAGCACTCCGAGGGAGCACCATTTAAGTGGGGGTAAGAGGGACGGGGAGGAATGAAGCTATTCCAGGTGGTGGAGGCTATTCCAGCCAGAGGGAAGAGCCTATGGTAAGTTCAAGGACTCAAAGAAGATTAATTCAGTTTAGCTGGAGTGTAGAGTACAGCTGATGTCACCTGAGAGGCAGGCACTGGATCCAGGGGGACGTGAGGAGGAACACACCAAGGAGTAGAACAACAGAGACTCTAGAAGTATGAATGAATCTGAAGAGTCCAGTGAGGATAACACCCATAGAAAAAGCTGAATTAGTAAACAAATAGTGTTGGGCTAAGTCATTAGCTTCTGAAAGAGAAATCGTTAGTGAGTCTATTCATCTCTCCCTCCATCTTCCACCAAAGAAAATTCCTGCAGCTTAGCTTCATTGGTGGAGGGCTGAGTGCAGTACCAGTGGGATGCTCTGGTGAAGGGAAAACATATAGGAAAGGAGTTAGTCATGGAGACAGTACAGGACCAGTTTAGGATGTGTGGAAGACAACCAGAAGACAGATGTACAAGAACAAAGGGTTTGACTGCCAGTTGTCTGAGAGTGTGACCTTGAGCACAAAAATGGATGTTGCGCATCTTAAAAAAAAATTTTTTTTAATTTATTTTTAGAGAAGGGGAAGGGACAGAGAAAGAAACACTGACCAGGAATTGAACCAGTGACACTTTGCTGCATGGGAAGACGCCCAATCAACTAACCACACCTGTCAGAGTTGTTGTGCATCTTTCTAGCCCCAGCATCTGGCACATGGCAGAAAGGAAGCCGAGAGAACCTGCCCAGTGTAGATGTGAAGAGCATGGCCTGGAAGCCACCTGCCTAGGTTTAAACTCTGGTTCTGCTGTTTTCAGCTGTGTGACCCAACTTACTTCACCAGCAGGATGCAATGAGTTAATAATTGGAAAGGGGTTAGAATAGGGCGCAGCTCACATGGTGTTTGCAATCAGCACGACTGTTGAAAGAGAAAGGGCCACGGGATTGTGATAAGTATCACTGGCACACTGCAACAGGGAGGTTCTCAAACTTGATTGGGCATCAGCATCACCTGGAGGGCTTGGGCTCACCCCCAGTGTCTGATTCAGTAGGTCTAGGATGCGGCCCAGGTATCTGCATGTGTAACAAGTTCCCAGGTGATGCTGATTCTATTGATCCTGAGATCACACTGTGAGAGCCACAGCCCATTAAAAACTCAGTTTCAACCTGGCAGTGAGGGTGCTAGCCAGACTGCAAGGGACTTCTGCATAAAGCCAGCCATGTTGGAGCACCCTTTCAAAAAGTCTTTTCAGGAGGGCTTTGAAGGGGAGCAGTAAATAACACCCCTCTTTTCTACCCTTCTGAACAACTAAGAAGTGAGGCAAAAGAGTTGGCAGGTGGAGGTCAACATATAACTCATATTACCAAGAAATTGGTGACCGGCTCATATTTGCAGGCAAATGGCCCTCTGGACAATATAACCCAGAGTCGGGCAGAGTTGCCCAGGTGGCTGCTGGCAGAATCACTCTGGGTGGCCTCCCTTGCAGGGGCAGAGCCAGGCCCTGGAGCAACAGACTAGAGCAGGTGGCCCCTGCAGGCAGCTGCTCTCACTCAGGTTAGGTCAGTGCTCCTGCTGGAGAAAGGGGGAGGGGAGGTGGTGAAGGGACACCTCTACATGAGGGACATCACAGGAGCAAGAAATATTTGCCTCTAAGTGTTTTATGCTTAATGATGAACATGGAGAGTGGGTGTACTTTTACTGAGACTTGGGCATGTGTATAAGTGGTAGAGTAGGAATCAGATGAGATTGAGAATGTGAAAGACTCGAGAAAAACCAAGCACACAAACCCTAAGAGGATGTAGGAGATGGATGCAAAGCACACAAGAAGGGTCATTATAAGAAAGGAGAAGCATATGTTCAGTGACAAATGGATGCACAGAAAGAATGAGAGAAGTTATGACGCATGAAGTAAGGAGAGGCAAAGACAGGTCAAGGAATCTGTACATGAAAGAAGAGGGAACGCTACCATTCTAGGGAGGATGGACACAGCGTGGTGAATGAGACAGATTTGTTGGCATGTCTTCATATGTAAGGAGGACTAAGGCAGACTAAAGTGGAAGGACAAGACAATGAAGTAGGAGAGGTTGTTAGAAAGAAGGATCACAAGATAATAAGGTGGTGCTTGTGGAAATGGAGTGGCAGTAAGATTCTTCGGGTGCTCTCGAGACGCACTGACCACCACAGGAGCCACTAGGTATCCACGGCCAGGGGACTAAAATCTGTTGCAGTTAAATTAAACCAACATTTTAGTTCCTCAGTCACACTAGCCACATTTCAAGTGCTCAGTAGCCACATGTGGCTATTAGCTAGGGTGCTGGACAGTGCAATATAGAACATTTCCATCCTTGCAGAGATCTGTTGGATGGGGTTGCTCTCGAAAAAGAAGCGTTTGCCCTTGAATTGAGAAGTGTGGGGAGAGGAAAGTTTTCATAATAAAAACTTTGTCTTTGTTATGGACTAGAATAGTACAGAATATTACTAATTGAAATCCTTACAAATTAAAAAAATAGTGGCAAATTTTAAATGCACAGATGCCATGAAATTGGATTTCATGGAAATTCAGAAAGATTTTGTTCTTACATTTTTTAATGCTCTCTGAAGAATTTTCTTAAATGAACTTTTGAATTGTTTCATATCAAAAAGGTCAATGTCTCCACCTGTCAAAGTGAAAAGAAAAATTAAGGGAGCTACACTGTCTTCAATAAGTGCATTTACAAAGACCCTGAGGTGAGCATTTGTGTAACCTCAACGATCAAATCACACAAGTGCTGCCGGCATTCTGACACAGCATTGCTAAATATACTGTTCATTATCCCATAAATGAGTAACAATTACCTTGTTTTGAAAGAAAAGATACTTAAGAGGAACATACTGTTATTCATTTTCAAATAGCCAAAATATCCAGTACAAATGTTAAATTAAAGAACAAAATGAAAATAAAAGGGAAAACGTTACCTGGTTCTTTAGTCATCTGAAAAACATCCCAAACTTTCTGGTGCCGATGAAATTGAGTATCTGAGAAAGGGAGGAAGAGCTTATTGCTATTCTATCAAAGAACTTTTAAGTAATGTGTTTATGAATATATATATATATTTAGTAACATGAAGGTGGAGAAACTAATGGTAATTTACAAATTAGGTTATATATTTTTATTCAAAACATAAATTTTACATGGATTAAATTTACTCCAGACAAACAAAACACATCATAAAAAACTACTCAATCTAGTAGAGCTCTAGCATTTACTCTTAAGTCAGATCACTTATTCTCTTTCTACATAGAATGCGGCATTTACTGAGCAGGCCCGGAATAATGCGCTCCCCGTGACCGGTGTGTGCGCTGGCTGGATGTTCCTTTGTCTGGAGCAATCTTCTCCCAGCTTGTTGCAGACTTCATTCCTGCACCTCATCTAGGCTCTGCGAAAATGCCATCTATGCCATGGCCTATCCTGATCATCCTACCCCAACTGACTCCCATCCCACCCTGCTTTAGTTTCCTTCACTACCTGACATTATATCATATGTTTAAAGGGTCATTTATACAGTCCTTGTCTTCCCAGCCAGAACCTGTGACATGCAGGACTTTGTCTTGTTCCCTGCTATATTCCCAGTGTCTAGACACTGGCTGGCATGAAATGAGTGCTCTGTATATAGTTGATGAATAAATGAATGAACATATGAATCTATGACACAGGAGACACCCTTCAGGAGTTATAAACTTAAGGGTGTCTTGGAGTAAAAATGGACCTAGGAAGTTATTAAGTTTAATCCCACCACATTATCATCCTGGATAGACTCTGTTCCTGCACTGACCTCTGTCTGCATCCCTGTATCTTTGCACCTAGGACCAAAGTGCTCTGCACTCCATAAAAAGGGGCTGTTGGCCCCAACACTCAAGGGCACCAACTTGCTATGCTTTATGTACTTTCTTGTCCTTCCTACAATTTAGTGTCTTTTTTTTCTTTATTTGGTGCCTTGGTGTCCCCACCTCCCCTCTCACTCCACTTAAGGCAATGGTCTGACAATTCTTGATTACCTAAATTTTGTCTGAAATGGGTATAACCTGGCACAATGTGACGCCTGCCCAAGAGACAGCATCCAAAGCATTTTTGTTCCTTTCTGGTATTTTCCTCTTGGTTCTGTGTTTCAGAGTTAAGATGGCTTGCTAATTGATCTCTGAATAAGGTTGTTGTAATAATAATAGAAACTAAAATATTTTGTTGTTAATGATTCCATTAAACATCATGCAAAAGTTCATGACAATTGGCAAGGACTTAAATACACATGAAGGCATTTCCTCAAACAGAATATGTCCTAGACTAATCTGTGGTCTTTGAGAACACCATGGTCTGCCTCTAGTGTCCCCTATCTCAGCAAGGAACTCTGTCTTCCTTTCAGTTGCTCCTACAGACCCTAAGGCCATGTGGGCTCCTCCTACTCACTCCCCCAGGCCATACCGCCTTCGAAGTCCACTTTTTATCCTTACATTCCTTACAAGATGCACCATCGTAAGCCCAAATTTTCAGAAATATATTTTCAATTCTGTTAATAATACAAATCTTAACAGATATTTACTATGTGCTTATTATATGCCAGTTACTGTGCTAAGAGCTTTTCAAGCAGTTCATTTAACCCTCACAATGATCCTGTGCTATATTATATTAACGGTGCTAGTATTACTTCCATTTTACTTAATAGAAGTCTGAGGCCTAGAAAGGCAATGTGACTTGGCAATGGACACAAGACTAGTAAGTGACAGAGCTGGGATTTTACACACCAGGTCAACTTGACTGTAGAACCAGAGGCCTTACATACAAAACTGCCTCTCTGATGAAACTGGATTGGTTAAATGTAAATACAAATCACCAAAACTTACAGATGATGTCTAAAAGGGCAGCGTCACTGACACGTGCACGCTTCTCCTGAAAGAGAAAGTAAAATATCCAGTAAATATAGCTGCAGGTTTGGTTCTACCCCACTTATAGCACACTTTTGAACTGCTTACAGACCAGGAGCACCCTCTCAACACCTTACTGACAACCTGTCTCTGACCTATGCTCTCCTGTTAAGTAACAAATACACCTTTTGATTCCTGTTTCAGTACAGGCACTCACAACTGTTCTCCCACAATCTACTCCTCATTTATCACTTTTAACTTTTTTTTTTTTTTAATCAAACTTCTGGACTTCCCCTACAACAGGGTTTCTTAACTAGGCACTACTGACATTGTGAGTCAGATAATTCTGTATTTGGAGAGCTGTCACAGAAGGCTAAGGGGCTTCCTGGCCTCTGTCCACTGGAAGCCAGCAGCACCCCCCCTCCCCACAGTTCTGACAACGAAAAATGTCTCCAGACATTGTGTCCTCTGGAAGACAAAATCATCCCAGCTGAGAACCACTGTTCTATACGTACACATTTATATGTATGCATGGCATATAGTTTCTTTCAGTGTACACAAAGATATAGTTTATTCTTTTTAATGGCTGAAGAGTATTTTGTTACGTGGATATATTATTGATTGGCTAATCTTCTATGTATAGTTGCAATTTTTTGGTTTTTTAAACAATGCTAGTTAATGTCTTTATATATGTCTTCACATGTTTATAACTACATATATAAATGTTTGTCAATTTTTATTTATATCTTTATTTTTAATAATTTTATCCACATGAATTTTCAGAAGTGGAATGGCTGGGTCATAAAGTATATTTACTTAAATGTAAATGTGGGAATATGGGAATTCTTTGTAACAGCAACTTTTCTGAAAGTCTGAAGTCATTTTAAAACAAAAGCAAATGATTAAATAAATACATGTGAGAGAGTGTCTCTTTCTGCACAACCTGACCAACGCATCTGAGTATTATTATCTTTTCATCTTTGACAATCTGATAGGTTAAAAAAGAATACTGCTCATTCTTTAACTTGTATTGATTGTGTTTTTCTCTCCCATGGTATTCACATTTTTCTTAATGATTTGTAAGCAGTTTTGATAAGCAGAAAAGCCAACTAAAAAATAGTGTCTTCCCCACTACAGTAGTGCATAGTTTCATCACTTCACAGTTTAGCAGCTGCTTTAAATCTCGTTTGAACCAAGGAAAGGAAAGAAAAACACCAAAGAGGGTAGCATGATGTTCAAGGTTAATCATTTTGAACATTGTTACCTCACAAAGCAGGACCAAGTCATGAACAAGAGATTCCTTTCTCTTCCGGAAGTTGATGTCCTGCAGTTGATTTTCAGATAAAAAACCCCAGGCTTGTAGGATTGTCATCATTTCAGCCATTGGGATTTTCAAGATGGTCCTCTTGATAAACTCGGCAATGGTTTCATCCATTTCTTTAGCACTTTAATAAAACAAAAACAGCACAATAATAACCAGCACAAAAATTTAACTTACCAGTGAATTATTTTTAGCATATTTCTAGCTGGGATTAGCTTTGATTTGTAGGTCAAATACCCAAATGTTTATTTTACCTTTTCTCAGGCAATCTGCAAAGTATTTCAACAAGAGGATTTAATATTTTCTCCTTAAGCTGTATATTTAAATATGTTTTAGAGTTTTAAAAAATTAGGATTCTCTCTCCTTTCTTGGTTAGAGTATTTTGATCTTTTGATGGCAATGACATGGAAATCATGAATTCATTTACTGATTCATGTAACAAGTTCCTGGGCACTTATTCATGCCAGACACTTTTCTAGGCATTGAAGTTAAATGTATCTTTAACCAAAAAGACAAAAATCCCTGCCAGTATGGAGCATCCTTTCTACTTGGGAGTGACAGGCAACAGAAAAGTCACAAAATGTATTAAAAGTGGTAAGTGCTGCAGAGAAAATGGAGTAAGTCGTGTTAGGAAACTAGTGCTAGTGAACATGGAGCAGGCTGGGAGTGAGGTGGAAGTAGGGGTGGAGAGAGTAGGCCCCACAGAGAAGTCGATATCTGAGCCAATCCTTGTAGGAGTATGCCATGTGTCTAGCTATTGGATGAATTTTCCAGGCAGAGGGAACAGCAAGTACAAAAGCCTTGGGGTCTTCAAGAAAGAAGAAGCCCTCCAGGGAGACCAGAGGGAGAAGCACAGAGGAGGTGAGGTCAGAGATCATGAAGGGCCCTGAGGGCCACTGCAAGGATCTTGGCCTTGACTCTGACAGAAACCAGCGCATGGAAGTCTTTGAGAAGAGACAGGATATGCTCTCACTTAGGTTTTCCACCAGGATTAATCTGGCTACTATACTGAGAATGTAGACTAGGAAGAAGGGAGAAACAGGATGCCAGCTAGGAGGCTACCTCGATGTAGGTTAGAGGTGATGGTAGACCAAAGTGGAGATGGTGGGAACAGATAAGATTCTGGATCCACTTTTAAGAGAAAGTCCACAGAGTTTCCCAATGGATTACATGCAGGTGTTAAGAGACAGGAATCACAGAAGATACCAAAGTAACTGAAAGAATGGAGTGGCTATTACCTGAGATGGGGAAGACTACTGGGGATGGAGGAAAGCTCAAGAATTCGGTCTGTTCTGAACATGTCAATTTTAAGGTTAAGTTTTAGACTCTAAGTGGAGAAACTAAACCACTGGAGTTATGAGCTTACAAGACACAATGGGAGCTGGAGGTGGAGAGGATTACAGTTTCTTCTTTAATGCATTGCCAATTAATATAAAGCTACTACATCACTTTTCTGGCCCCATACCTGATTCTTTAATTGTCCAAAAGGTCTTGCCACAAATCTGGTGTAGCTCCCTCAGCAACAGACAGGGTAATGATCTTCTGGAGCATAACTAAGGTTCTCTTAAAGCTGTGGCATAGGGTCGGGGGATTCTGAGCCCTTCTATTACTTTCTTTAGGGAAGAAGCTATAGGCCAAGGATGACAGTTGATCTCAACTCTACTACCTCATCTGAGGACACTGATGGACATCTCCCATTCTCCCTCAAAATACAGAACATAACCAGGCAAGCAAGTATGATTTCTAAACAAAGATTAAGTAGGATATCCTCAGACATTAAATACCCTTAACAGCCTATCTTCTAGGAAAAAGCCCACAGACCTTGCTTGATGTCTGTGTTTAAGACAAGAGGCAATAGTCAGTCTGTTGATCTCAACTGCTGCCACCACAACTACAGGATTTCTAAAGACTGAGGAATATCCTCCTACCCTACAGAAATCCCGACTGTGATTTATGTCTACTATTTAAGTGTTTGTTGAATACTGCATGTAATTTATTACCACTGACGACTTCCAAAAGGAAATGGATATTGACTGTATCTTAAAAAGACACTGCCCTGGCTGGTGTGGCTCAGTGGATTGAACACTGGCCTGCCAACCAAAGGGTTACTGGTTCAGTTCCCAGTCATAGCACATGCCCGAGTTTCAGGCCAAGTCTCTAGTAGGGGGTGTGTGAGAGGCAATCACACATTGATGTTTCTCTCCCTCTATTTCTCCCTCCCTTTCTCTCTGTTTAAAAATAAATAAAATCTTTACAACAGTTAAAACAAAAATAAAGAAGAACTATGGAGTCATTTAGAAATGCAGTGGCAGCAGAAAGAGAAAAATAACTGAGTAAAGAACATGAGAACAGAATCAGTCTCATGAAAATGACCCCAAAGTCAAGACTGAAATCCTCATGAGGCCCTGCACTGTTTCGTTTCTGCCTCTGTCCCCATCATCTACCATGATCTTCCTGGCTTTCTGAGCTACTTTAGCCTTTTAGTTCCTCTAATACAAAATGATCCCTCCAAGGTCCATCTATCTACAATTGTCCCTGACTAGAATATTCTTCCTGCACATACTCCATGGGAAACTCTTGCTGTAAATCAGGTCTCAGTTCGGATGGCTTCTCAGGGAGACTTATTTTGATCACCCAATCTGAAGTTATTTCCCGACCTTCATTGCTTGTCTCTACAGAACTATCTGAATTTATCTTGCTTATTAATTACTTCATTGCTTAACAATATTTTACCGAGCTCCACTAGGGCAGGAACTATGTTTGTCTCATCCATGGCTCTATCCCTACATGACAAATACCTGTGGAATGAAGTGTTACTTCCCTTAAGCAGTGAACCTGAGGAGATAACCTGGGAAGCATTAGGGTCCAACAGCCCGTGAAGCATCAAAAACAACAGAGGTCGGGGTGGGCTTGTTAAAATGCAGATTTCTGGGCCATATCAATTTAAACTGGGACGGGGGGGGTGGTCACTGAGTAGGGCTTGGGATTCTGTATTTTAGAGTGCCTGAGATTCTAAATTTTGGGTAGTTCGCAGAATGCCATTCTAAACAATTTGGTAGAAAGAGTTCACTCAATGTCATCAACCAAGTTGGAAAACTCTTTTGAGTAAACTCTTGATTCCCTGTGATTACCTAATTTCTTATTTCCTAGTACATAGCAGCTCAGTGCCTGGACTATAGAAGCTGGTCAAGATATATTTGTTGAATGAATTCATGACAGAAAAAAAAGAGCCCTTTTAAGCAAGTTTCCTGTAGACCTATACCGCTGAAGAGCTGCAATAAGGAGCGTAAGAACTGAACGCGAGAGGCTGCATGGACGAAAAGGGACGGAACCCATGGTTAACTGAAAAATCAAAACACCCAACACGCGGCAAAACAGCAATCTAAAACTGAGAAAGTTGCGCATCCCATCACGTGACAATTGGAGAAGGCTGGGCACAGACGCACGCTTACGCAAGTCCCCGCCCCAACCCGGGCGGACGTGAGGTCACGACCAAGCTTCATTGCCCCCTGGGACCTAAGTCTCAACCATAGTCCTTGCCTCTCCTCCTCCAACCGTGACCAAGCGCCAATCCCGTGTCTTAGGACGTGCGGCAGTCGCGGAAAAGTCGCCCAAGAGGCTTGGGATGTCGGTTCCTGAGGGCTCCCGCCCCTCCAGAGCACGATTCCTTGTCGCTAGGGCCTCTCTTACCGTTCACATCGCCAGCCGTCTCACTCCACAGCAGCTGTTCCCGCCCGCAGCGTCTTCAAAGCTGCCAATTGCAGTTCCCGCCGCCCTCGAGCCCCGCCCACTGGGGGAGGGCAAACTTTGGACTGTATCCCTAGCGTAGGGGGTCGCGTGGGAAGAGCGGCAGAGAAGTGAAACTCATTGAGCCCCCACGTCACCTTCTTAGCAGAGAATATTGTTTAAATCAGTTATTTTCACCAGTGACACCTGACTTGTTGGCTCAGCTTGCTCTTTAGGCTTTGCCGCGTTTCTGTAGGCTCGTTCCCCCCCCCCACCCCGCGTAAAATGGGTCCGTTCAGGCCGGTGGCGCCTGCGCCTCCGAGGCCGCTAGCGGCGTGGGCCGGCCTAGCGGGTCAGCTGTGGAGTGTGTAGGAGCTTTCCCTACTTCGAGCTCCCTTGACCCTGGCGCCCAGATAACTTTGTTTTTGGGTGAGGAGCCTTCTCTGGTGAATACCGCCTCAGCCATCCTGGTGTGGCCGCGAGTCGGGTGAGTCTGGGGAGTCTGGGGTTCAGAGGAGCGCTCTGCTTCTGACTGCGGCGTCCGGGGAGCCCGCGGGACACCCACCTGTCTCTTCCCTCGTCCCCTGCTCTCGTGCGCCCCCTAGGGCAGCGTCCTGTCGGGACTTTCTGTCGTCCTTGGAGGTTGGTATCGGGAAGGCGGGGTTCTCGGGGCTGCAGTTGCCTCCTCGCTGGGGATTTTGTCACGGAGGCTATAGGTGCTGCCTGAGCTCTCCACCCTCAGGCTTTTGCTGAGGACCTGCTAGTAGTTGAGGGCAGGTCTTGTCCTAGATGTTTCACTCTTCTGCAGGCTGTCCCGCCACTCTCGAGCCTTGTGACTTTTGTCGGGCTTCTCCGCTCCCTGAGCCTGCCGCCCTGAGCTGCCCCTCCTGTAAAATGGTATAAACCCATGGCATCGATTGTGAGAAGCGAAGGCCTTGGGGCAGTGTTTGACACGGTGAACATTGTGTGGTTATTGTTACTGATTATGCAGTTTAGAATTTGCAGGCAGAAGAGAGGAGCCCGTTGGGGCGCATCTCAGCTGCAGTGAAAGTTGCCACCAATCCGTCCTGCGAAGGGAGAATCTCATAAAATCCCTGTTAGTACACTTTTCGGGGAGTGTTAGACGTTCATATCTCTTTTATTCGGTTTAAAGATTACCATGCCTATCGTTTCCCAATAGGTGCTTTAAGTAAATCCGAGTTCTGGAAACCTTCATTTAAAATTTTAAATGCATAAAAGAAGTTTGCGTTGGCAAAGGCTTTTGTTGTGACACCCTTTGTATCGCCTTTCTATATATACAAGTTTTTGCACTTGTTTAGCTGATTTAAAATGAGCCTCATCTCACCCTTTTAAAAAAAGCCTTATGTTGAGGTCTGAACCAGTTTTTATTTCTATGATAATCCTAAACTCAACATTCCGTGAGCATTTACTATATGTATTTACAAGAATATTCTCTCATTAGCCTGTGCGTTCCTTGAGGTGTATGGACTAATTACCCCCCTGAAATTCATGTGATTTTGAAGCACCTAGCAAATGCTGATTAAATGTTCAGGGAAAGCTTCAGTTTGGCCCATTCCTTAAGAAACTGTGTGATGGAAGTTACGAGTCCTATACAGCCCTCCCCCGTGAAGCCCAAGGGTTGCTCTCAGTAGCGGTGGGCATGGACTGTGCTTTGGGCCCATCTGTTACTTAACAGCACTTGTTTAGACTTGGTCACCTTGCAGCTGTGATTAGTAAGTAGAAGTGGGTAGGGTTTGGTCGTCCCTTGTTATCTGCTATGTTTGCTATCTCTGCTGAATATGGCACATAGTTTAAGGTAGTTGGAGAAATACTAATTTACTAGTTCCAGTGCTTTCTGAAATGTAGGCTTTAAAAGATTATTTTAGAAAGCTTTAACTATTAATTTACAGGTTTTTCTGGAGAACAGATTTTTCAGATTTTTCAGACTTTTCCGGCCTTGTCTTCTGCTTTTTTTATAATGACATTGGGATTTGCAACTGTAGCATAAATTTATTTCTGGTGCAGCCACACAATAGCAGACTCTTTCTAAAGAAAACAAGAGTGGCATTAAAATATGGGGTTTCCCCCATGTAATTATAGGTCTGCTGAAGTGCTTACACCCTTTACTAAAGTTGCTTGTTGCTTGCTTTTGGTTTATTTATTTTCTGAGATGGTGCCACCTGGTGGTTGAAATCTTCTACCATCTAATACTCATTAGGAATATTTTACCTCGGAGTCTTGGTAAGATAAAGTAAAAGTGAATAAAATAAGACTAATTTTTATATTGTCAGTGAGAGTACCCTACTGCTTCTACCCTCTCAGCTTATTCCCGGTAAAAGTTAAAATAGTTCTTTAGGGGCCTATTGGCCACTTATCAAAACATCATATTGTCACTCTGAACATTTTTAAGAGTTTCAGCTGACTGTTTCGGTATCAATTTGTGCATACTTGAGGAAGTAGGTGGAGTTGGCATATCGAGGGAAGTGTTATAATTGTGACAAGTTAACCCTTCTGATGTTTTCTAAATGCCGGTGGGACTGAGCTTTTGTTTTTTAACTGAATAATAGTGGACTTCATCCCTCTCTTTCTCACTGCAAACACACATGCATGACAGCTTATCACAGATGAATATTCCCTTCACCTTGGTTTCAGCCGCGCAGCCTCTGTTCACAATACCTTGGCACTGTCCTTTGGAAATTGTGTTCTGTATTCCTATTAGTAGCAGGTGTTTATCATATGAATGTGACTTTTGATTTTGGAAATAGCTTAAAGTCATTTAATTGTGAGCTTAGATTTGAGAAGAAACTTAAGAATGCAGTGGTACAGTAATACTCTGTGGCATCCTTAATTGACGTAGCCAGTCTCTGTGGGGCACATTTGGACAGATAAGCGAGAGCTTCACGTAGCAGCCTGTTTCCTTGTTGGACTGGTCCATGAAGATGACAGCTGCCTCCCTGGCTGGCGTAGCTCAGTGGATTGAGCGTAGGCTGCGAACCAAAGTGTGGCAGGTTCGATTCCCAGTCAGGGCACATGCCTGGGTTGCAGGCCATGGCCCCCAGCAACCGCACATTGATGTTTCTCTCTCTCTCTCTCTCTCTCTCTTTCTCTCTCCCTCCCTTCCCTCTCTAAAAATAAATAAATAAAATCTTCAAAAAAATTTAAAAAAAAAGATGACAGCTGCCTCTGTGACTTCCACCCTTTGGTTTCCAGTCCTGTTCCCAGAAACACCTCAGAGTAAATTCAGTTGAACTCTTTCTGTTATGTGACAGGGCATTTCAGATAGACAAATAATACTTTACGTGTCACACACACTGTTGACTGTTTCAGAGACTCTCCCATGTTATTTTAAACCTCATGATATCACGGAGATAATAGGTTAAGAGCTAATTCCATTTTTAGAAAGAAGAGACTCAGGTCTCAGATCAAGTAAACAAAGTGGTACAGCTTGTGAATAGCTGAATCCACAATTTTTGCCTTCAAAGCGTCTTCTCCCTACAAATCCATGGTTTGTCCAACTTAACCAAGTTGTTCCTTTTATCTCTCTCCTCTGTTGAGGGCTTGCCTAAACTGGCAGATATTACCAGTTTTATTAATGGTTCCTTGTTTAAATCTAGTGACAGAGCCACCACTTCCTGAGCACTCTTCCCAGGAATATTCAAATGGTGAATATTCTGGACATGGCTGATCAGGATGAGTAGAGTCCTGTTTTTTTTCTTAGTGTAAACAGACACTCTATTTCTAATAATATAGGATGATATCATTATTACATTGGCTTCTTTGGAAACTAGGTCTAGAATTAGTGCCTGCTGAACTTGTAGCCAGCCAGAGGCTCTTTGATAAATAGTAGTTTTTTGCTATCTGACTTTATTTCATTCACAAATCACTGGGAAGGTATGTTTTTCCTATTATGAACATGGGAAAAAAATCTGTAGTGGTAAAAGATTACCTTATATTGTAACTCTGCCACTTACTGTGTGGCTGGGCTTAGTTTTGCCATGAAAATGTGGGTAATGCATATTTTGATGTACAAAAAGGCAGTTTCTTAGGATTCAACTGAAATGTAAAAGATACCTACTTCCTATAGTTATTGGGACAGTTATTAGACTTGTGCCTAGCACATAGTATTTAACAAATTATTTTGTACATTAATAATGTAGATATATCCTTATGGCTTTGAAGAAATTAAAAAATAAAGAATTGGAATATATACTTAGCTTTTCTTCAGTTCATAATAATTACTTTGAATTAATAGTGTTATTAGAATAGGCTTTTAAAGATGACTAGTGAAAGATATCAGCACTCATTTATGTGTGTTCTAAGGACATTGCCATTGTTTTATAGTCATGTATATCATAATACACATTTATGCTTATATACAACATGTATGTATATTTTTATCTTCTCAGATGTTTACTTTGCCAATTAAGTCATTTCAGTACATCATAAGCTTGTTTCTGAACTGTAAAAGCATAAGTTTGAGGGCTGGTTGACAGAAATATGCAAAAAATGTTTTGTCAAATATGTTACAAAATAAAATTTTAAAGTCATTTGCTGGGTGACTCAACCAGTGTACATTTTCCTTCAGAAGATTAAGTGAGGCAGAAACCAGATAACTGATACTGTATATTGGTATAGTATTAGATGATGTAAATTGTTGTACTATATGAGACCTCATTTTCCTGAGGCAAAAATTTGTATCATTAAAAAACTTTGTAGTCAGTGGCAGGCAAAAAAGACTTGAACTAGGCTGCATTTTCAATTTCCATTCCAAATACTCTCAGCTGGGCAAAACGCCCTGATTTTCTTTCTTTTTTGAAGACTTTATTTATTTTTAGAGAGAGGGGAAGGGAAGGAGGAAGAGAGGGAGAGAAATGTCTATGTGTGGTTGCCTCTTGCACATCTCCACAGTGGGGACCTGGCCCTCAACCCAGGGATGTGCCCTAGACTGGGAATTGAACCGGTAACCCTTTGGTTTGCAGGCTGGAGCTCAATCCACTGAGCCACACCAGCCAGGAAAAATTTTCAGTCTTTGGCTGTGGTATATTTTGTGTGTGGGGGTGTGGGGGTGTTAGTTATTCAATGAAATAGTGATGTACTGGTATTTTTTGTAAGTTGAAATCTGAAATAGTAGGTACATTATGATTCTTTGGAATTAGTGGTTTAGACGTTTTTAAGGATTTTATTTGTTGGGATTGAAAGGTGGATGGGCAGTTTGAATTTCCCTCAACTTGTTTTTAACAGCTTTGTTAAGGTATAATTTACATTTTATACAATACACCCAGTGTAAGTGAATTCAGTGATTTTAGTAAACTTATACAATTGCACAAGCATTACTCCAGTCTTATTTTAAAACATTTTCATTACCCCCCAAAATTTCTTGGTGTCCATTTGCAAGTTAATTCTCCACTTTTACTGTCAGGTCTAGGCAGCCAATGATCAGCTTTTTGTCTACAAATTTGCCTTTTTTAGACAGTGCATATAAATGGAATCATGCAATGTAGTGTTTTGAATCTGGCTTCTTTCATTTAGCTTAGTGCTTTCGAGGTTCATGTTGGCACATTTATCAGTTAATTTCATTTAATTGAAAAATAGTAATCCATTGTGTAAATACACTACATTTTTATCCAATTACATGGTTATTGGACATTTGGATTGTTTCCAGTCTTGGCTATTGTGAATAATGCTATGAACATTGACATACATATCTTTGTGTGGATACACTACAGGGTGAAGCAAAAGTAGGTTTACAGTTCATATGGAAAATAATACAATACTTATAAATAATACAAGAGTAAACCGTGTTTCATGTGCTCACAACTGTAATTTTGCTTCTGCCTCATGCTGTATTTTTTCATTTCTCTTGAGAAGATTCTTAGGAGTGCAATTCCAGGTCATATGGTAAGTTTGTGTTCAACTTCTTAAGAAACTGCCAGTTGTCTTCCCAAGTGTCTGTGCTGTTTTACATTCCCTATAGCGATGCATGAAGTTCATTTCCTCCACAGTCTAAACAGTGCCTGGCATTGTCTGGCTTTTTGATAGTAGACATTCTGGCGGATGTGGAGTAGCACCTCATTGTGGCTTTAATTTGCATTTCCTTGAGGACTCGTGGTGTTCAGCATCTTTTCAGGTGCTTAATTAACCTGTATCATCTTCAGTGAAATATCCATTCAAATCTTTTGTCCATTTTTAAGGGGTCCATTTTAAACATTGGATTGTTTGTAAGCATTCTTTATTATTACAGATACAAGTCCTTTATCATCTATGATTTGCAAATATTTTCTTGTAGTCTATGGCTTGTAGTAGATTTAATTTTTTTAGAGCAATTTTAGGTTTGCAGCCAAATTGAGCAAAAAGTGGAGTGATCTCCCGCACTCTCTGCCCCCACACACTCACAACTTCCCTCATTATCAGCGTCCCCCACCAGAACGGTACATTTATCACAGTCGATGAACCTACATTCACACGTCACCGAAGTATGGCCTGGCTTTCCCATTTTCTTATTGGTGTTTTTTTAAATCAGTAAAATTTGTAATTTTGATGAGCTTTTACCATTTTTTTTCTTTTATGGATTGTGTTTTTTATGTGTCTAAGAACGTTCTACCCAAACTAAGGTTGTAATTTTTTCCAATATTCTTTCTTAGAACTTTTAAAAGATTACAGCGATTAATTGGGTGTGGTTTTTTTTTTCTTTTGGTACTTTTTCTGAGTTAAAAAGAATAGGTTATAAAACACAGTAGGTATATAGTGCTATGTAACTATAGCACACACTTCAAAATAATGCTTTTCCTTTGACCTTAGCTGGTAATTTCCTATATGAGTGAACTAATTAAACCAATTTCAGGGATTTCAGCTTCTTGTTGTCATTGTAATAATCACATTTTTATGGATATATCTGCCAAATATGAAAAATTTATTTTCCATCTGCATCTTGTTTGTTTTCATTGTTTAGTTAGATTTTCCTAGGCAGAAGTTAGGAAGAAAGCAGTCTATATTAATTCACACTAGTGTGAGATGACCAATTTTCTCTTTAACTTTCTCAGAGGAATACACATTTTTAAAGGAGCAATAAACCAGTTCTCTTAATCGGTAGAATTTCATCTGAACAAAAATGAGTTGTAATCAGTTTCAGGAATGTGGGGCTTACTAATATAGGTAAACTGTCTCTGCTTGAGCACTTATTTCCAGGATCAGGTCTGTGGAGGAGTCCTGCTTTTTTCTGAACCTGTGTGTTCTCTCAACACTCCTGATAAATTTCTGAATCTGCTCAATCCTTGGATAAGGAACCTGAGGCTCTAGTTGAATAATTTGCCTAAGGTCAACATTCTGTTCTGATAAAGGTCACCGGGGGTTCTTACTGAAAATATGAAAATAGTTTAGGTTGCACTAACAAATACAGTCACGCATATTCAAGACACTCTTGTATCCACAGGTTGCTCTGCTGTGCTCCATCACCTCCTAAAGATGCATCCTGACTTATCTCCACACTTGCACACTGAAGAATGCAACGTCTTGATTAATTTACTTAAGGATTGTCACAAAAATGTAAGAGTTCAGAAAAATTACCATAAAGTAAAAGTGAAACTTAATGTATAACACACTGATGTAATTTAAATGTTACCTCCATTAATGGAAGGGAATGATAATGTCTTAGCTTAGTAAAGATTAGCAGCTGAAGCTTGTGATTTTTGAGAAACCACTTTTATGATTAAAAATTCAAGGATGAAAGTCTGCTAGGGATCTTTTGAAATGATTTAATATTTAGAATGCATGTTCTTAAAATACTTTTCCTGATTACGGAGCACTAAAACAATTATGTTCAGCTCTGACTCTTCTGATCATAATTGAATTAGTCTAAGATTTTCTGTTCCTTGATGTCTCCCATTCTGTGTTTAAAGGAAATTGAAACATGTTTATAATTAGATGTTGATAAATTTAAGTTATGATAGACCTAATTTGACAGGTTTACTTGTTAGTGAAATGGAAGTAAAATTCCATGGTTAAAACCAAAATAACAAAGAAGCCCATTTTTGGAATGCATTAAATTGAGCTGATATTTTTACAGATGTCAAATATTTAGCTTTTTTCATATACCTGATGCATGAGACAGTGATATAGAGCATTTGTGCTACTCTTTAACTTTGCCTGATGCATTAGTTTCTTCTTGAGGTTCATGAACAGTAGATATGTCAAACTTTAATAGTAATAAGTATGATTTATTTATTTTTAAAGTAAATTTTATTGATTATATTATTAGAGTTGTCCCGGTTTTTTTCTCCCTTTTATGCCCCTCTACCTGGTACCCACATTCCCTCCAGCATTCTTCCCGTTCCCTTAGTTCATGTCCATGGGTCATGCATATGAGTTCTTGGCTTCTCCATTTCCTATACTATTCTCGGCATCCTCCTGCCTATTTTGTACCTAACAATTATGCTTCTTATTCCCTGTACCTTTTCAGTATGATTTAAATGAGCAAAATTTTAAGACTGAAGGTAACGTAAGTAAAACCCCTAACCTGTGAAGTCAATTTTTTATGGTTCAGAAAATGTTGTAGATGAATAATATACTCCAGGCAAACAATTTTCACCATCCATTTAAATCAAGAATTGCTATTGTAAGTCTTTAACTTTAGTCATTCATTGGGTATATGGTAGTATCTTGTTTGTTTTTAAATTGTATTTCCTTGATGGTCGGTGATTTTAAGTATCTTTTTATGTGCTTATTGGCCATTCATATAAAGTCTTTTGCCAATATTTAAAAATTGAGTTGTCTGTCTTACTATTGAGTTGTCAGAATTAGTTTTGTCATTGGGCATACAGGTCCTTTGTCTGATAAGTATAATGTGAATATTTTCTCTCAGCCTTTTCTGTGACATCCTTTTTTCATTTTCTTAAGGATGTGTTTTGAAGAGCAATTACAAATTTGATGAAGTCTGATTTACCAGTTCTTTTCTTTTGTTTGTATTTTTTATGTTTTAAGGATCTTATATATTTGCCGATCACAAAGATTTTCTATTTTTTCTTTTGCAAATTTTATAGTTTTAGCTTTTACATTTAGGTCTGTGATTCACTTCAAGTTTTGATTTTTGTGTATGGTGTGAGGTATGAGTCAAGGTTTCTTTCTTTACCTATGGATACCTAATTATTCCAGCATCATTTATTGAAGAGACTATTCTTTCTCCACTAAACTACCTTGGTGCCTTTGCCAAAAATCAATTACTGTAGGTTGGTGGGTCTATTTCTGGGCTTTCTGGTCTGTTCCACTAATATGTAGATATATCTGTGTATCTGTATATCTTTTAACACTACTTAATTTCCAAGTTAGGTCCCCTGACTGTTTTGTCCTCTTCTGTCATAATTCAGTTTCCATAGTGCATCTAGAGCAGGGGTGTGAAACTCATTTTCACCGGGGGCCACATCAACCTCTTGGGTTGCCTTCAAAGGGCAGAGTTGTAATTTCAACTCCTTAACAGTTAAGGAGTAGTTACACTTATACAGTCCTAAAATTATCTCAGCTCTTTAAAGGCAACCTCGAGGCTGATATGGCCCCTGGTGAAAATGAGTTTGACACCCCTGATCTAGAGTGACCTCTGAAACGTAAGTTTAATCATTGTTCCCCTTTAATGGCTTCCTTTGTCTATAAGATCTTCATTTCTACTTGGTGTTGCAAGACCTTTTTGAAACTGGTACCTCCTTACCTCTTGGGCCTCACCGCTGTCCTGTACATCTGGTTGTCCCCTCATTCCTGTGTGCTTTTCTGCGGTTGCACTGGAGCATGTTTCTCTTATGAGCCTTTGTACTTGCTTTTTCCTTTGCTTAACTTAGAGCCTTTTTCACTGTCCTCACTTCCCATTTGCTAGACCATTTATGATCTCCTAGGTTTTATTCAGCTTAATTTGTCATTTCCTCTTTCTTCTTTCGTGGTCTTGCTTCTCTTGTGATAGTCACTCTACTCCAAAATACCATACATAACATACTTCCTACTTTGTGACAGTTGTTCTCACACCTTTTGGTCTCAGGATTCCTTTACACTCTTAAAAATTATTGAGGACCACAGAGAACTTTGTTTATGTGAGTTGTATATATCAGTATTTACTGAATTTAGAAATTGAAACTGAGAAATTAAAAAATAATTTATTTAAAATAATAAACTCAAATGTTGTTATTTTTTTTTATAAAAAGCTCTTAGGTTCCAAAACAAAAAAAAGTGACATTGCTTGTACATTTTTGCAATTCTCTTTAATGTCTGACTTAATAGAATACAGCTGGTTTCTCATAGCTGACTCTCCATTTAATCTGCAATTACATTACACTCACGTGGCCTCTGGAAAATTCCACTGTACCCTTGTTAGAGAATGAAAGTGAACAAAACAAGTAAGATCTTTAGTTACTAGGAAAACAGTTTTTACCTTGCGCATCTCCTGGAAGGGTCTTGAGAACTCTTGGATGCCCCTAAACTACACGAAACATTGCTTTAGAGCACTCCAGTCATTATTCGTCTCTTCCCTTTGACAGTGTGCTGAGTGAGGACATACCCAGGTCCTCCTTGCTCACTGCTGTATCCTAGTGCCTGGGACATTGTCTTCCAGACATTAATTCATTGATTCACTCATTAAATCAGTGACTAGGCCAGTTTGGTTCTCTAGAAATAGACATCAGGCACGAGAAGCTTATGCTGTGTACGAGAGAATTGCAGTACATGGGCATGTCCTTGACCACTTTCACTGGGCATGTTGGGTTTTACACATAATGTCACAAGAGTATACTTATTTGGGCTTAATATTGAGATAAAAGTAAAAATATTAATCAGTTTTTTTCTTGAATTTTTAATATAAGCTGTATGTTTATGGGATGATAGAAATAAATGTAGTTAAAACTATAAAATATTGCCTTGCATTCTAAGTCTAATCCTTTCTTTATTTCTGTTTGACCAGAAGGTGTGTGAAACTGCATTGTCTCTGCATTTGTTTTCAAGGAAGTAATTTAGGAAAAGCACACAGGAAATAGTTATTTTGAGGAGGTCATTAGGTAACCAGGAGGAGCTCTTAGTCTATTTTAAATGCTTGCCAGAAAAATGCTGACCATTTATCCAATATGCACCAGAAAAGTGCATTTAAAGTGGTAATCAATCAGGAAAAAAAGAAATAGCATGATGTATAGCTTACTAATTATGTGTTGCCTGGTTTCCACGAAAGCCTTATTTAGAAAGAAAAGGAAAAGATCTGCTTATTACTACAATTACAAGTTCAGCATTTATGGCATCATTCCAGATCAGCCTGCTCTCCAGTCCACCCTTAAAAATTGTGTCGTGCAAACATACCAAATATGGCCCTACTAAGTTCAGGTTCTTGACTTCATTCGTCTTAATTAATCTGCTTTGGAGCATATTTATTGCCGTGATGATAGTCATAGGACTTGAACCACTAGGGGATTTTTATTTTTGTTTTTCAAATAAAGCAGACTGAACCTCAGACATAGATTTTTCTTTATTGTGAATTAGTGGCTTATTTATGTGGCCCATATAGGCCATCTAATAACAATGTTATGTGTTTCTGATTTATTTTGATAACATTTTGAATGGGGGCAAATGAGAAAATGGCTTTGGCATCAGGCATTTGTTAAGTAGCTCTTCTATTGGACGGTGTTTGCTGGTGAAGGACGTTCTCGTGTGAGTATGGCCACACTGCTCTTTGACATCACTCCCTGGGACGGAGGATGGATTGCGCTGTGACTTTAACATGCCCTCAGGGAAGACGGTATTGGGCAATAAAAGTGTTTACACTCTGTCATTATGAGGTTTTGGCAGGTTAATAGGCTTCACATTTATCAAGGAAAGTCTTATTTTTTATTTCTACCTATAGAGCATTTATCCCTCTTTTTTAGGGAAGCCAGGATAAGCATGTTAATTTGGATATTTTATACTTGTGATTTAACTATTTGCTTATTAACAAGGTGACACATTAAAGAAGTTTTTTAATTCTCTGTACCGTAGCATATTATGGGTTGAAATATTTTACCCTTTTCTTCTTTTAGCACAGCATTCTGAAATTTTTTGGTTATTGCAATGATCTTGATCGAGAGATGAGAAAATGCTTGAAGAAGGAGGTAAGAAAAGTGTTAAAAGGATGGAAATAGTTCAACAATGGAACAGAACATTTTTGAACAATATCGTATATTACTGCCATTGTTAAATTCCTTTCCCAAATGTTAGTGTAGCATAGAAAAATTGACTTTATATGTGTGTACCCCCTAAAACCTAGGGGAGAAATGAAAGCCTCTTCTGGCGGCAATTTTAGAGTACCGCTGCTGTTTGGCACGCACATAAATGAAAACAACTTCCTTTTTATAATCAGTGCAATTTCTCTGGATGAATTTTAAAGTTTAGGAAATTGACTTTGTATAGCATATGATTGTTTAACCACTATACAAGTGTGCCTGAAACTAATACAAAATAATACTGAATGTAACTGTAATTGAAAAATAAAATTAAAGATTAAGAAAAAGATGCCATGGGAAAAGAGGATTCTCTTCATAGGAGTTTGATCTGTAATTGTCTTTGTTCAATTAAAATGTTTGGTAAATTGAATCTCTTCAGCAGAAAAGACCTATCAATCAGCTGTTAGCTGTAGCAGGTAACTAAAACTCTCTGGGCCTAAATTTCCTTATATAACATGGTGAGGGTAGACTTAGGTTCTTTACAGCTTTAGAATTTTGAATTTCTTTATAGTCATGGTATGTATAAACCATAAGGATCTAGTTGGACTTACTTGGAAAGACTCCTGAACCCAATTTTAGGCTGAGACTTGGACTTGGGCAAATAGTCAAATACCTAACTCATTGTCTTTTTACAGGTACTGCTAATCAAGCAGAATGCATTCAAATCTTTGAAAAGAAATCTAATTCCATTTGTTTTGTACATCGGATGTTTTATGTCCAGAATATTTAAAAATCTATACTAAAAATCTGCCTTCCAGTTTTCTTTCATTTTCTGTACTTTGAGCTTTTCCCCTCCATTAGCCTTATATTGAAAAGTATTAGATATAATATTTGAAGCTTCCCAGCATCTATCTTTCTTCATTTTTGTATTTTCCACTTTGGGTTTTTCTTTTGCTTTTTTCTTTCCTGGAAAAAAAGTGTCTTTACTGTTTGAGGGACTTTCCAGAGTTCTGAGATAAGGGTGATAATTTTCTTTGTGTGACCAACATGTATATGTATAAATGTTTTAAACTGATTTTTGAAAAGAGGTTTTTTGTGTGTGTGTGTGTGTGTGTGTTTTTAATATGTAAAGGCTCATTTAGATGGAAACTAAACTTAGGGCTCTGTTTCTTTGTAAATAAGATTATGGAAAAATAAAGACTATACTGTTTTATTGGGTATAGCTGTTTATTTCTCACTTTCAGTTGTATAACATAGCTTTTTCCCTAAGTTTAGATTTTTTTATTACAGTTTAATGATTTTGCCATCATTGACTTGGTGATTGATCATATGAAATTTTCTTCCCAGGTAGTCCTGAGGTGTTAGTGAATATTTGGTAGACTATTATAGATACTCTTATTTTGTCTGGGTTTTTCATATAAATTTCAGATATTTTCCTTGATTTATTTATTAATTTTTAAAGGTTTATTTATTTATCTTTAGAGAGAGGGAAAGGGAGGGAGAAAAAGGGAGAGAAACATCAATGTGTGGTTGCTTCTCACGTGACCCTCACCAGTGACCTGGCCCACAACCCAGGCATGTGCCCTGACTAGGAATCAAACCAGTGACCCTTTGGTTCCCAGCCTACGCTTAATCCACTGAGCTATACCAGCCAGGGCTTCCTTGATTTATTTTTTTTAAGTCCTCTGTGTGGTTTTTATGTTGCTTAATGACCTGATTTATAGGCATTTTTCTGTCCTTTCATCCTTTAATCCTCTGAACTGGCCCTCATTTATTTCCTCTCTGCTTTTGATGCCTTTTTGTTTACCACATCGCTTCCAGCACTCTCTTCCTGTCATTCCCTTGATGTGTCACTTGAGTGCTTCGTTCCTTGAAGCTTATGACTAGAAATAGGGTCTGTCCAGTTCTCTTGAGCCTCTCTTTGCTGTTGTGTTGTTGCTTTTGTTCATTTATTGAAATAATCACTAATACTACTACTTTGTACCATCTGTTTTGTCCCTCTTGGTTTTTTGGTTAATTGACCTTCCATTCTATCTGTGTTTTCAGTGGAGTTTTGTGAATAACATTGTATTCGTCCTTTTTTTTCTTCTTTTATTCAGGGACCATTTTGACTGCCTTTGGAAATAATCTTAATATATATTTTAATATAGACTGTATTTTCATTTACACTATGACTTATTTTATTGGCATGCTACAAAGGATTATCTTCAGAAGATTTACTGTTCAGATCTTCCTCACAGCCTAATTGCTGGTGGTAACATGTGATTAAAGATAGATCTAAAATATTTGTCTCAGAGCAGGTATCTATGTTCTATTTATTTATTTTTAGAGAGCAAGAGGAGGGGGGAGAGAGAGAAAGAGAGAAAGAGAAACATTGATTTGTTTTCCCACTTATTTATGCAATTACTGGTTTCTTCTTGTATGTGCCCTGACTGGAGATTGAACCCGCAACCTTGGTGTATCAGGATGACCTTCTAACCAACTGAGCTACCCTGCCAGGGCGAGTAGTGGCTTTTTTATCCCTGATTTTTTTAAAGCAATGAAACACACCTTTTCCTTTACAATCTCAAGAGGAAAATTAATGTGTGACATGAAAGGAGTTATTTTGGTTAAAGGGACCTAATGCTTCATGTATAATTTGAAGTGGCCATTTGATGAGGAAGAAAAAAGTTTGTAAACTATCATTCTGGTAGATATGTTAGAAACCTTCAATCAAAACTTTAGATGTAAAGCACTTCTTAAAGATTATCTGGCCCAACTCCTTAATATTTGAGGTTACTGGACCAGAAGATGAAGTAACTCAAAAGCTGGGAGTCTCCACACCATTGTCTCAGGAGGTGGGGGTGGGGAGCTGGTCAAGTCCCTGGTTGGCGCTCTGTCGTGAATTTTTTGTTTTCTGTGGCCTCTTTCCATATCTGTCTTCTAAAAGATTTTGATGTTCAGCTGTTCATGTACACTCAGTTTTTTCAACTTGGATTTGCTTTTCCGTTTTTCAACCTGGATTTCCTTTTACTTTTTTCCCTCTTTGTCCAGGGACTCTTCATTCACCTTTAAAATATGTCTGTATTGGTATGTATATTATAAGCCTATATATATGAACCTATAAGAACACTTATGTTCAAGTTTCTCTGCTTTAAACAAGTGCTTTTTCCTAAATGCCAGGCTCTGTCTGTATTTCCTGTTATTTATCATCTACTAGCCAGATCAGAATACTAAGTTGAAAACCTCTAAGGTGAAAACTGCATTTAGATCCAACTGATTACAGACACACAGGATTTGGGGAGACTCTGATTCAATGACCATTCGTGATAAAACAAACAAACAAACAAAACCCTGGGAAGTTCAGCTGCCTATAAGTTCCTGTGTGAACCAACAGGATAATGTGGTTGCTAAGAGCCAGTCTCTCTTGATAATGTTGGTATTCATAGAAAGGTAATGTGTCTAGGTCCTAAGAACTAGGAGGCCCACTGTAGTCCACGTCTGCCAGACTGCTTCTGGAGCACTGTGTGTAATTCCAGCTGTGTTATTTTTCGTAAGGAATATTGATACTAAAGCACTGTATAAAAGGTGCTTTATAGATATTAGAAGGCAGAAGCCCTATTCTGTGAATAGTGGAGGAAGGAGTGATGTTCAGCCTGAGAAAGAGATTATGAGTGGGTTATCTGTAACCAGATAGTTGAAAGAATATAGCAGGCAAGAAGAAATAGAGGGTGGTAGGAGAATTTACTGGGAAGCCCTTACTGATTCAACATAAACAACTTTGCAACAATTACTGGAACAATAATTAAATGGGTAGTGAGCTCTTCATAACTAGAAGTGTTCAATCAGAGGCTGGATAATTCTATAGATTGTGAGCTATGGAGAGCAGGAACAAAACTCATTCATCTTATTTACTGAGTTCGTATTTTGAAAGGAAATTAATTCAGTGAAGGCTTGAGTATCTGTTAGGATGTAGATGCTAGATTGAATGAAATTATACTAGATACCTCTAAGGTCAGTTTCCAATCTCAGATTTAGTGAAATAAAAGACAAATAAGAGTTTTGTCAGCAAAAACATTATTTTTTTCCCAAATATTTTAAAATACTTAACTTACTTGATATAAATGGTGATATAATCTGCTCTTTTCTCCCCCTTCCTTTTATTTTCCAGTACGTGGAAAAGAGGATCAAGAGCAGGGAGCACGGTGATGCAATGCGAAAGAAACTTTTTAATTCTCCAGATGAATCTGAAACATAAATTACATTTTCACTGGATGCCTTGGCTGAGTGAAGACCTAAAGACTCTTGGTTGATAACCAAAAGAATCCTGTTTCATTTGGTCTCCAGAATCTTTTGACTAGCAAGTGACCCACGAGAGATCGAGCCGTGGAGAAACACGGAAACCCTGGACTCAGACCGTCCGCCGGGCAGAGCCTTTAGTACCCCGATCCCTTTCCCAACGCCCCGACTTTTAACAGGCCGCTTTCCTTTGCCTGCAGCCACTTAACATTTGAGCAACTTATTCCTCCCTCAATAAAATCATTGACTTTAATCATGTTTTCTCTGTTCTCTTAGACTCCTGAAATTAGGGCAAAATGGTCCCATTAGATTTTCCTTTTGAACAGCGTGCCAATTCTGGAGCTTAAACATTGAAGGTATGAGCTAGGGCAAAAAGAGTGAGGAAATCCCCAGCTGTGTGAACTATATGAAAATGTTCCAACTTTATTTTTCTTAAAGGGTTAGATGTTTAACGTGGATAAAATTACATGTAGTTAGAATTTAAGTCTCGATGGATTTAGTTCCTGTTTGGTTGGGTGTGCCCACCCTGGGTGCCACTTAACTCCTGGACATTAACCTTAGGCTCGCATGCCTCCTCTCGCTGGGTGCAGGGCTCTCTCTTCTTCCCATACTCATTTTTAGCAGCATTCTTTCTGCCTGGTGTTTCCGAGACCTGTGAGAATCAAAGTCAGCAACTTCCAGCCACATGACAGCACAGACTGCGCACTGCGAACTCCTCCTCCTGAATTCTGATGTTTATGTTCAGGATGAGGCCTTGTTGGTCTCAGTGTTTAATAAGTGATTTCCCCATCACAAGAGGTATTCAAGAGGATGGATCTTGATATTCAGTTGGCAAGGTGGTTACAAAGGATAACAGACATTTGATGAAGGGTTAGAGGAAGAAGCAGAATTAATTCTGAGGTCCCTTTCAAGACTGAGATTTGTGAATATTCAGTTGTGCTCCCCCAGTCTCCTTACCCCCCTGCCCCCGCCCACTGCCCCCGGTCAGGCAGTACAGGTATGGAAATGAGACATTTTGTCTTTAAAAGCTCATCATAAACCAACAAGTTGACTATTAGTGCAGTAAGTGCCATGATTAGGTAGGTGTCATAGAAAACAGCATTCATGCCCAGCCTTCAGAAAGAAGGAGCCATTCCAAGAAAGCTGCTTAGCACAGGAGACTTGACAAGTGGAGTGAAAATGGAATTCATTCTGGGGAATGCAAGTCATTGAGCATGGCTGGAATATGAGAACACTTGGTGGAGGAAGATCAGAATATCTTTTAATTTTGTTGGAATTATTTCTTCAATGCTGTGGTGACCAGTTACATATTTTAATATGGTGATTTGGGATTTATGGAGGGGACTTAGGTTGATGTGTTTCAATTTGTGTTTTTAGTAAGATTTTTCTGGTTGTAGTTTGTGATGTAAACTGGAGGAGAAGAGAGATTACACTCAGGGGGACCAATTAGGTTATGCCCTAATTGAGGTGAAAAGTGAGGGTCTGAATTAAGTGGCTTGGGGATCAAGAGGAATGACTAGATTTGAGGGGAATCTGAACACAGAATCAGCATGACTGACATGGGGCAAGGTTTAAGACAAGTCTAGGAGGCCTCGGGCACTGGATTTGTGCCTGCCTGCTGTAGGTGCCCTGCCCGGAGGGGAGGGAGGGTGGGAGAGGTGTGCTGTGAAGTGCTGAGTCTGAGGTGTGTGGACGATCTGGGTGCAGATGGCTTTTAGGCTTCTGAGCAATCAGATCTAGAGCTTACTAGAGCTGCCTGGACTGGAACAGACTTGGGTGACAGCAGCACACAGATTAGAGCGAATGACCTGGGGCCGATGTTCATAGTGGACCACGAGAATTTCTTAGAGCAGAATGGGATTTTTGGGGGGGGGGGTCACTTAATTTTTAAATTATATAAGTACTACATTTTTAGGAACATTCAAACAACTTACAAGTTTTACAGAGTAAAAATTATCCTTTATTCCCCAATATCACATCTTGCCAGAATTATCTGTAACTGACAGGTGGGGCTTCTAGGCATTTATATTAGCATTTCAGGACAGGAGAGAGCCCCATATTTGGAGAAGGAGCAGGCATAGAGGTAGAAGGCAAACGGTGTGAAGGGTGTTTGCAGAGGAAGGAGTGTCACTGTGTTAGAGTAAGGGCTGAGATGGCTGTTGGTTGGATCCCTCTTGCATCTGTGACCTTAGAGCCATTTGGTGTGGTGAGGACTGGGCGGAAGCTGAAGTGGAGCTAGAGGACACAAGGACCTTTGAGAAGGCTTGGCTCTGAAGGGAAGGACAGTGTAGGATCGAGAGGTCTTCTTACAAAATCAAAAGAAAGTTGAGTGACAGTTGGGAATGGGTATATGTTGAAAGAACACCATAGAAGAGAGGGATTAACTTACAGAATGAAATCTTTGAGGATGCAGAGATGGATGAGATTCAGCACCCGTGGTGACAGTGGTGATGGTTTTTTTTCTAGAAAGCAAATTAGACATGGAAAACTTGAAGCACTGAAGGACATGCAAAGTGTTCTTTTCAGAGAGCAGTAAATGTCCATTTGTGCAGGACGTAATGGTGTTTCTTCTATGAAGAATTAAGAGCAAGCCTCTGTTTTTGCTCCCTAAGCACTAAAACCTCAGATACCCTAATGTCACCAGGAACCAGTGATGCCGGTAAACTTTTAATGGCTGGCTCTGCAAGACAAAGGCACCGGTTTGTAGCATTTGCCGTTTTCTATGTTGTAAATATTTCTGCTATGGCAGATTTCAAGCTACCAAGCGGATGTTGCCAAAGGTGATGTTGGGAAGAGGTGCACTTAGTAGGTTCTTCTGAGCTGGTACCAGCTGACACCAGCCCCCCAATGGCACACCACTGCTGTGCTGGAAGAACTGCAAAGAATTATCAAGTCAGTTGGTTGCCCACTGATCATCACCTTCCCCACCTCTAACGTTTTGTCAGTTGAAAGCCCCTGTAATGTCAGATGTACACTAAAGCGATACTGCTGGGACTCCTGTGCCAGAGCAGCTGTAGTTGGGGACTGCTGGAGTTCAGAGAGTCTCCGGGGGCACATCACTTGTAGAACAGCAGATAACCGTATGCCAGGAGGATTGGGAAGGAAATGAGACCTGCCTCCGTATACCATTATGGGTGGTTGGATTTGTGCCCTGGCAGCAGAGTTCAAGAGCTCAAACACCCTCTACCCTCTTTATATATATATAATCACATTACCTTAATAGCCATCTCAAGAACTGTTGGGGCCTGCAAAAATGGGCGTGGCTGTCTGTAAGTTGGTACCTAGCTACGTGACTTCTGACAGAGTTCTCAGTCTGGGTTTCCACTCTTAGTTTTAAAATGAGGTGGTTGGACTCATTTACTGTTTTGTTAACCACGGAATCCTTAGTATCTCAGGCCCAGGCACTAAATAATCAGTAGGAGGTAACTTTGTTTTGCAATAAAAGATGCTACAACTGTACAGGCAGTTTGTCTTGGGTCTTTGTTGTTGTTATTTTCCCTTTAAATTTCCATCCCATGTTGATGTCTGCTTCCTATCCTCACCTCTCATACCGCTGGAGGGTGCCACCTTTACTAACAGGAGTGTATCATATCCCTTGAGTATTGAGGCTAAATCGAGGGTCACAGAGTCCTGCTCAGAACTTCTCTCCTCGCTCCTGTCCGGCCTCCCTCCAGACGACCCTCCCAGAGCTGCCAGGGAAACACAGCACACCGCTTTTAAGGCCCTACTCTGAATATTCCAGGTGTTCTAATGCCTGTGCAGCAAGGTGCACACTCAAGGCCCTGGCAATACAAGGCTCCTCTGCCTCTTCAGCTCCCTCTAGGAGGGGCGTTGGGGAAAGAAAATGCTGTGGAGCTGGAACGGTGGGACCAAGGGAGAGAGTGGAATGAGATGAGTGGAGAACAAGGGCAGGGGCCTTGGGAGCCACAGCAAGAAACTTGGGTTTTATAAGGATCTCTCTGGCTGCTGGGTGAAGAATAGTTATGGTTAAACTAATTCAACCCAAATTTAGTTACTTAAATTTTTTTAAGCCTCAGGTTCCACATCTGTAAACGATAGATGTTATCAGTACTTATTACATAGAATCACTGTGAAGATTAGTTGAGATAATGTATATAAAGCTGTTGGAAGATTAATTGGCACGGAATAAAGACCCACCAATACTGTTATTCTTTATGAGTGCATCCAAACTGGAGTGTTGGTAACACTTCCCTGCATTTTTGTAGAATGCAGCAAATCATTTGGGGTGGTCTCATTTGGGGTGGTCCCATTTGGGCAGGGCCCCAGCAGTGGAGGAATCAAAAGGTGAGGGGCTTGGTATGAGGCAGAGGGAAGGGCCAGGCTGCTACAGCCTCTAGAAACTCACCCCTCCCTGGATCCCTGTACATCTACCTTTCACAGAATAAGTAAGTCCCATTGCCTTGCTGTCTGCATTTCATCCCATAGTCACATCAGGACTTTCTGGTTTAGGTAATGTCCCCAATCTTGCCTACTTTTTCCCAGCCCTCTGTGGATCAGAGTGAAATGTGTCTAGATTAGAGTTTTCTTCTCTCTAGAGCAAGCTCACTATCCTCCTGGGGATTTGTGTGGTTTGTTCATTTGTTTATTTAGTACTAGGAGCCTAAGAGGCTGGAGTCAGATAGGGGTGGGGAGGAACAGAGATTCTATCTCTTCTCGCTTTTACCAAGCATCCAGCACTGTGCTGGGCACCAGTGATTGATGAACAAGCTGGTTAGTCCAGGTCAGGGCTCTTGTCATGAAGGACCATGTGAGCCCTGATAAGGAGTTGGGCTTTCCTTTTGAGAGCACTGGAGATACATTGTAGGGTCTGTGCAGAATACAGAGTGATAGATTTATTTAACTTAGTGTCGATTTTCAGTGGTTTTGGGTCATGATCATCTCTTGAAGTTGAGGATCTCAGGCCCAGGTTTTTCTGAGAAATCTAATTTGTGGAACACTGTGAGCCTTGATGCTCCCGTCACGGCAACTTTAGTAATACTTTATTGTAGGAGTACTACACAATTTTACTTTAGAGTGAGGATAGAAAGTTGAGCTTTTTCTGACCCTTCATAAATGGAGGTTAATCTCCATGGAGTTTTTAGCTCAAAGCACAGCTAGTTTCCCGAGAAAGAGTGTGGGCCAAACTAGGTAATGTCGTTGGCCTGCCAGGTGGACATACCGAGATCATTCTATGTTTAGCAAAAGGACAAGTCACCAAGCCTCAAATGAGCTGCCTTTTCTACCACACTCTGA